GGGGGGGAATCGCGACAGCGGGAGAGGAGGAGAAGAAGAAGAAGAAGAAAAAGAAGAAGAAGATAAAAAAAGAAGAAGAAGAGGAGGAAGAAGAAGAAGATGATGAAAAGAAGAAGACCAAGATGAAAAGGGGAAGAAGAAGAAGAAGAAGAATCGAGGAGGAAGAAAAGAATAAGAAAAAAAAAAAAAAAAAAAAAAGTCGTCGATTACTTATCTGCGCGGGGTAGCAACGACGATGACAAGGATGGCACGGCGTGGCGACGAGGACGACGGGCACGGCGATGGTCACGTGGCACGACGACCATGATCGCGATGATGATGGCGTGGCACGACGACGATGATCGTGACGATGATGGTGATGACGTGGTGCAACGGCGACGATCGCGACGATGACGTGGCACTGAGACGACGATCACGATGATGATGCTGATGATGGCCAGGTGATGGCGACGAAGCATGGTGGGTCGGGCGGGTTCGAACCGCTCCGATACCAGTGTGATGGGCGTGAGGCTGAGGGTGAGCTGAGGGAGAGGAGAGAGAGAGGGAGAGAGTGAGAGCACACACACACACTCACTCACTCGACACGACKGACTCGGACTGAGGGTCGGCCGCAGACACAGTGGCAAGGCACAAAGTCGAAGTCTTGGATTTCGAATGCCGAAACAGCAAGTCACACTGAGTACGAGTACAGCAGCAGAAAACTGGTACGAGACTGGTCCCCGTACCATGCCGGGAGCCGGTAAAGTACCGGTGACACGTACGATACCAGGGGCATTCCTGCAAAGGCCCCGAGGGCAGAACTGAAAAATGCGGTATTTGAAAGTGGCGCCCGAATTGCAGCATGGCGCCAGTTGTCCAAAATCCTACGGTACCAAAGAAGAAGAAGAAGAAGAAGAAGAGGCGTATAATGCATTGCCAAAAAAATGCCTGTAATTACCTGGATTACCAAACAAATACCTGCAAGAGATCCAAAACCCCACCAATAGCTGAGATTGCTAGGACTTGGATAATCTACCAAATGATTGTTGAATGTACCAAAGAAGAAGAGGAGGAGGAGGAGGAGGAGGAAGAAGAAGAAGAGACTTGCCAGAGGGGAAGGAAACAGGCTGATACCCCCGGGCCCCGGCATCGAAAAGGACACAGGGTCATAACGCTCAATCCCCGAAAAAAAGAAAAGAGAGCCAGATTAAATCAAACATAAAGGAAAGGTATTGAAGGAATAAATTTATCCAGAATGGGAGAAGCGTTAAGGTTCTGAAACTCACAGTGCCATGCAAAGTGCCCCTATACACAGCTCCAAAGGATCCTGTAGCATATACCAACCGACATAACACCACAAGAACAGTGTAAGCAGCAGTCAGATATCCTCGATATTTCATCCCAGGAAGTCAAAGCTGCCAGACAACCTAAATCCGAACCAGGATGTTAAGACATTTCTCAAATTTTTAGCATGTGATGCTTATGATGCAGAATTCCACAGAGCAATGGAAGTTGCAAATGAGCTCTTTGCGGACTCTCTCTCTCTCTCTCTCTCTCTCACTCATGGTGCATGAGCACACACTTCGTGTTGATTCTCTCTCTCTCTCTCTCTCTCTCTCTCTCTCTCTCTCTCTCTCTCTCTCTCTCTCTCTCTCTCTCATGGTGCACGAGCACACACTTCGTGTTGATTCTCTCTCTCTCTCTCTCTCTCTCTCTCTCTCTCTCTCTCTCTCTCTCTCTCTCTCTCTCTCTCTCTCCCATGGTGCATGAGCACACATTTCGTGTTGATTATTATTATTTTCTCTTATTGGCCATGGATGAGGAGGCGGGAAAGGACAAGAAAAGGACATATAGGAGGACAAAGAGGAGGACAAAGTGGTGGAGGCGGAGGAGGACAGCTCTTTCTATATATCATTCTATAATGCCAAGTTCGCTGCTCGAAACTCTGTGCACAGTGGTAACTTGTAAGTCTATTGAGTGCCAAGCACAACAATAAGTTGTTGCATGTGAGACTTCACAAAGCACAACGGCCAGAACTCTTTTCTCGCACAAAAGTGCAATAACTAAGACTCTCGCTCTTCCGCTATATTTCAAGCCCGTGCTCTGAGCCAGTGATCACTGTTAGTTATGTGAGTCATTGTGGCCACAATCTATGTTTACCATCCCCATGTGGATAGCCGCAAAGATTATCGCATTCACCTGATTCCCCTGGGATTCGAAATCATGACCTGTTCACTAACTCCCACGTGTGTTACTATTCACTGTATTCAGTCACATGTCCGCTGGGTTGATGGTTGTTGACACTAATGATGCAATGCGGTTTGAAAACGATAATGGCCCGGCCGGTAGTCAGTGATAGCGCAGTAGACAAAGTACCAACCAGCCCTTCTTTCTTTTTTTCTTTTTTTCATCATCTATGTTGCTGTTGTAGCTGGATTTCCAGCAAGAAATGCCAGTCTGAGAGGTGACTATTTCAGCACATAGATGCGAGGCCAACCGCTTCGCAGTTCCGCGAATAGCTGGTTCTCAAGGAGTTTCTCTAAAATGGACTGCAAGGACCTGAACGAAGAGGCCCAGAACCCCAGGAGAGCGCTGGGGGAATACCAGTTGATGATCTATTGAGAAGTCCAGGAAGTGTATAGTGTGGAGAAGAGAGTCGAAAGAGACAGATGAACAATGGGTCTTGTTCTTGACCATACTTGCAAGCACACCTGTACGGGGAAAAGCGGCTGAGTCGCGCACAGCAGATACTTCACAAATTTGCTTCAACAGAATGATTTCCTCCGAACTTGGAACAAAAAAAACAACAACGAAACTTACGAAACTAAGAGAAGTGGGAAGGAGGTGTGAGTGAGTTGTATCGTAAATTCACAACTTGCGAGTGGAACACCAGAATGGATATGGAGGCATGCTCATAAGAGCGTGTATTAAAGGGAGGGAAAAAAAAAACAAAACAAAACAAAAACAAAGAGAAGTGATAAAAGAGGAACAGAGGTCCGATGCCTCGCCGTAAAGCCACGGTTTGGACATTATGGAAGAAAAGGTGTGCTTACTACTTAGACTCTTAGAGCATTGCTGGCACACGACCAAGGAGGAAGTAGGCTGAAGTCGACTGATCGGTATGGCGGAAACGGAGATCAGGTGCAGGTGGCAAATATAAAGGGACTTGCCAAGAGCAGGCCAGACGGGATCAGGGCCAGGACGAAAGCCTTCTCAAAGAACCGGTCGCTGTAAGGAAGAACTGTGCCACTGTGTAAAAACAGACTGAAATGCGACAAAACTAACGAGGTACCAGCTGAGGAAACGGCCCACGACCAAAAGGCAATGCAAGGGTGAACCTGGTGGAGACAGTCAGGGAAGACATGTCCTTATCGGTAAGAATCTTCGGGCGAAGATTCTAATTCTGGGCGAAGCTTCGGAGATCCTCAATTTTCCCAGCAAATCGCACAGCTCCAGTAAGAACTGCTCTTGGATCACAGGCTTTGTCAGGCAGCTAGCTTAAACCGCCAGTACTCCGTCCATACATCGGCCGCGGAAAATATACGAGTAGAAGCGTTTCTAGTCAGAGGAATTTGGGCGCTCCCTTAGCGGCCCATCCGCTCATCATTGTCGCTGCTCGTAATCCGCCGCGACTTTCGGAGGTACCCGTAGTTTAAGGCTGAGGAGCGCAGTTCGTTGTTTCCTGTGGGTAGTAGGTTATGGTAACCACTGACCAGGGTATAAACGAGCAGGCGTGGCGCAGGGGTACATCCTTCCGCCTCAGGAAGCAATCAATATCACTGCCTCCGGGTTCCTCCACTAGAATGGGAGGAAAGAGTGGGGTGTTGCTTTTTCACCAAAGGGACACTCTATTAGCCTTTTCACAGTGACGATGCCCGTGATTGTCGTACTTATTTAAAGTATCCGCCGGGAAGGTCTGTCTTGACAGACGACCTGAACGGACCCGGACAAATCTGTCGCGGTAGACTATGTGGACAGCCAGTAAATCCACCTGGACATCCGCCCACATGGAACGCCCGGCTTCGGTAGCTTCCTTTGTTCTCGTTTCCTCCCACAAACAATCCAGCTTCCTGCCCCATTTTTTTCTCTCAGAGTCTTGCCTTTCACTTTCTCCAGTAGTTCAGAAGCATACCTTGGCCAATTCTTTCACCGAGGACAAGACTTTCACCAATCAATTGACAGTCGCTTGTGTCAAAGTCGAAACTCAAGGGAACGCTTTTCCTGAGATCGGTGGACTGCTTGTGCTTCAATGTTGTCCCTTTGCTCTGATCCTCTTCATCATCCACAACGCCTCTCTCAGAACCTGTTTCTCCTTTTCCTAAATGGTTTTGATCTTTACGACCACCCTTATTTCCAGAACACACAGGATTACGCAGCCCCATTGTCTGTCCTTTTCTGATTGGACAATCTGCAAGTTCATCGGGAGCTGCATCCCTTTCCCGCTCCAGCCCTTGCCTTTCATTCCAATCACGTCTAGCAGCTGCTGCGCAGTGCAAGTCCGTTCCACCTGCCCGCTTACGAAAGTCAAACTTGGAGTCGTCCAGCCGTCCAGCCCTTGCTAGGTGCTCTGGCACAGCACAGTTAAGATTCCCTGTGCTAGATACCACATCTGCCAAACGTGGGGGAGCACTTCCATGAATTCCACAAGAAAATGCAGGACCACAGCTTCCGCGAGAAAACTCCCTCAGGTTTCGTCTCTCCTCGGAAACATTGGGGTCATCAAGGGCTTCAAAAACTGTACCAGGAACTGCTGGATTACTACTGCGATACAATCTCTCGACAAGAGGTGCCGCAGCTTCGATATGTGGATGATGCCGGGGCTCTGCTGAGCGACCATGGTCTAGCCTATCTGGAGTTGTTGGATTCGCATAGACCATCCCATTACTTCGCAATAGGCCCAATTTGTCCATCATCCCCTCGTCATAATGATTGCTTGCAGGTTTGCCTGATAGTTTCATCTTCAAATGTGCTGATGTGACCTGAGCGCCTTCACTGCCAATGAAGCATGTGTCAGTCCTATTGTGCAGGGGTGTTCGATCAGCTGAAGGAAGAGCCTCAAGAACAACACCCACGGACAGTGTTTCCCCTTCCCTTGTGACTTCATCAACCCCAGCAGGTAACCTTTGTGAATGGGGTTCGCTAGACCCAACAAGTGGGTCCTTGCCACTTACATGCCGCATTGCAATTGTCAACGACTGGTGCCTTGTCCCAGTTGACCCTGCTTTGTTGCGCAAAACTCTCGAGCCTACAGAACACCCTCTCTCTTTCCCATCAGGAAGTGAGACACCTGTCTTCATCTGAGAATTCTGCAACCCCTCCGGGCAGTGAAGTGATGGCACTACACTTCTAGGAACTGGAATTCCCTTATCGAAAACCTCCATTTCCAGCAGCCTTCCCGCATTACTTGAAAATGAGTTGAGCAGTCCACCGTTGGATGGCACTTGAGAGGGCACAGGATGTAGCAAACCTGGCTGATGCATTAGGTCAAGAACCCATTCCCTGATGATGTCATAAAAAAGAAGGCGTGGACGGAACGGAAAACGTGTGCAAAGAGATGTCAGAACACACGTTGTTGTTTCAGGGAGAGTTGTGTGCAAGTTTTATGATTGTAAAGGACATTGGACCCGGTTTCCAGCTGTTATAATAAGAGTTTGAACTTTGAAGAACCCATTCCCTGATGATGTCATAAAAAAGAGGCAGGAATGGAGCGGAAAACCCGTGCAAAGAAACATCAGAACACGTTGTTTTTTGTAGGGGAGAGGAGTGTGTGAGGTTTCATGATTGTAAGGGACGCTGGAACCAGTTTCCATCTATCAAAGTACGATCTCAAAAAAACAAAATGGAGAAGACTAGGCAGGTATAGCTAGTGTGGGGGTAGATATAAGATTGAGAGAAGAAAAAATAGGGTAGTAACTACAGCTTGTCCCCCATTTGAGGAGAAGACAGCTCTATTTTTCTTTATTAATAAAAAAAAATAAACAACCATTAAAGACACATGTTGTTACAGTCTTGCAGGATTTTACCAACCAGGTTCTTCCAGCAGACTTCTTCTTCTTTTTTAACATAAATATTAAAATAAATAAATAAACACCCATGATTCTGCTAATAGCATACATTTTTAACATTTACACTTCCTCTTTTCAACACGGATGGTATTGAAGTTCATCGCTTCTGAAGTATACCAGCCTGTGAAGCAGACAATAATTTCTCTACCATTTAAACCACTAGTACCTCCGCCAGTGTTGGGAAATTATGGAAAAGTAGACGTTTTCCCAAACTCCTGAAAATTTGGAGGCCGGGCCCAACGACGGCTGCCATTGATAAATCTGATCGGCGGCCGTCGTTTCGTTTCGGCCTCCGAAAAGGTCGGAGGCCCACCCGTTTTCCCACGCGACAAAGGTACTAGTGGTTTAAAACGTCTAAAGTTTTAAAAGAATCTAAACCTGTAAAGAAAAAAAAACACACACACAAAAACATAAAACAAAAAGTTTCTAGTACACAATGCTGGTCAGGGATCCTTTGGCCGGACGGAAGGAAGCGTGAGTGGGTTTCATGATGTAATGTTTTATTCTGACTTGCCGGTGGAATAGGAACCAGACTGATGCTCCCCAGAATGGAAATGGACCCGGGCCCATAAGGACCTGTTTTACTATAAAAAAAAGTTTCTAGTACACCTCTAGACAACCAACAGGGAGATGACGGATCCCGAAAATCAAGGCATCTTGGCATCCTGTCAAAGACCAGTGCAAGGAATATGATCAGAAGCGCCTTGTGAGAGCTCAATCCTCGCACCAGCTCCCTTTCCACTTTTTTTACAGGTCAGCTGGAAATTTTAGTTACCTTCTCTGTTTTTTTTAATTTATTTCTTTTGTTTGAAGAGAACTTTTAAAGAAGTCAATGCCATGGTGTCTGGGTCCCTTCACCATGAGGAAGGAAGGGAAGCATGCAGTGAATACCCAGATGCAAGGGATGCTGGACCTGGTTTCCAGTCTTATTAGCTAGGTAAGAGAGGCTAGAGCCTAAAACAGGCCAAAATGTATGTTCACAAAACGGTTAAAAACACCACTATGTTGGGCATCACCCACTGGCAGTCCCAACCCATGTTCTTGTTTCAAAAACTGCTGACCCTGGGATTCGATCCCAGACCAGGGCCGTAGAGCTCTGTTATCGTGCGCACGGTGTGGCATGGGGGTATGAACCCGCGCAGTAGGTGGATAGGCTAGGCATTCCATAAAAGGTATCCTAGCCCAATTAGCCATTTTTTGTGTCCAATTTTGGTCTTTTCACACTGGCAGGGCCTTGCTGGAATGGACAGAAATCAGCTTGCAAAAAATTAAGAGACGGGCTGACTACTCACTTTTGGGCACGCTAAATTTGCTATGGACGTTGAACAGCAGGGTAAAAAATGTTGATTGGCTGCCATTAGAGGTGAGAAGTAGGGCACAGCCATAACAACAAACATATTGTCACATATCTATGAACTAAATGGGCCTATCCATGCTGGCCAAACAGAGCAATAAAATCGGAAGGTGGGGCAATGCCTTCACGTCCCTTATTGGTTGAGTGTTAGTCCTCAATACATCGGTCTTTCAATGATGTGGTACACAGCCTCCATTTGGACAGTCCCAGACAGCTCGGTTAAGTAGCTGAACCGAAGAGCTAGGCTTTATCTATGGACAGGAGACCCCAACAAGGACAAGGGCATATCTAAGATCGCCTGGCACTACGTTACGAGAAGGCCACAAAACGGAGGCCTAGGAATTATTGACCCCGGAACAGAAACGAAAGCCCTGCAAGTCAAATGGATCATCAAACTGCTGATGAAGCCGGACAGCGCCTGGAATAATCTGGCGCTGGATAGTATCAGATCCGTGGCCCCAGTTCCCTCCCCGAACAATATGTCAGGTCTGTTTTGGGTAATGAATAAAGAATGGGTGATAACCACAAGACGTAGGAATCGAACGAGGAATAACAGACTCGATGACTATCGACCGCCCACGCCTTACTGGCCAGCACTACTCGGATCCTGGAGGAAAATATTTCCCAATAAGATAAACAGACCCAAATCCAAGGATGAAGTATTAAGGCAACCGCTCTTCGGGAATGAATGGATAACAAACGAGGCGGAAAACCCACTCTTCCTAGAACAGAGGTGGTTGTCCTGGATCAAGAACGGTATCTGGAAAGTTGACCACTTATGGAAGGAGGATAGAAAGGGCTGGATAACGGAACAAGAAGTCAGCTCCCGACTGAAAGGATGCCACAGACGAGGGACCAATCTCCAGTATANCTTATGGAAGGAGGATAGAAAGGGCTGGATAACGGAACAAGAAGTCAGCTCCCGACTGAAAGGATGCCACAGACGAGGGACCAATCTCCAGTATACACTTAGCTGTATCCCGCGGGAATGGAAAGATATCCTGGTAAAAGACGAATCGTGGAGACCGGGTGCGTGGGGACTCATGATTCAAGACGTGACCCCCTCTAGAGCCTTTCAATTCTCCCATTTGCAGCAAGGCTCACACACTAGGGCCACTTTCCTCTCTTTCCCGATTTCCCTCACCAATACTGGTACGCCAACTATCTTGAACTGCGATGTAGAGTCGCCAGTCTTAGAATCCTTCCTGCTCCGGAAAGTAAGGGTTCTAGGGGCATGGCCAAAGTCAGTCTTCAGACCTGACACTACAATCCGTAGCTTGGAGTTCGATCCAGCGGAATGGGCGTGGACGCCAAATAGGGCCAGCAACATTAAGACCAAAATTCCAATCCAGGATTACACAGTCAAACTTGGGTACAGACTGTCTCTAAAGACCAAAAATCCAGACCCTATTATCAAAAACAGATGGCGGAACCTCGTCGGGCACCGAAGGCGCTGTAGACCAATCAAGATTAGAAGTTTGCAGTGGCTGATTCAAACGATCAGACCAATCAAGATTACACAGTCACACGAATCCACTGGGAAAAATTCAAACGCATCAGACCAATCAAGATTAGAAGTTTGCAGTGGCTGATTGTGTACGCAGCCCTACCGGTGAACCAATGGCTACACACTAGGCGGAGAGCCGCAGACCCAAACAGCTCGGAGATATGTACAGTCTGCACCGAAGGCGCTGTAGAAGATATAGTTCACTGCCTAGTGCTTTGTAAAGAGGCTACTGAATACTGGGCGAGAGCTTCATAACTCTGGGACTCCCTCTTCACATCTCCCTTCCCCGAGCAACCCATTCAACTTCTCCTCTTGACTAACATCCCTGATCAGGCGCAAAAGGCAGAAAGGATCTGGTTTGAACTCGTCAGGAAAGTGACCCTATGGGTCATATGGAAGGAGAGATGCAGCAGGACAAYTGAGGGGCGGTCTAACCCACGGGAGAAGGTGTGGATAGAAACCAGAACATTGATACAAAGCTGAGATCCTCTGCAGATGGCGGAAGACCAAACAAGCTTGGACAGAAGACGAAGAGCAGCGTAAGAAGGAGAGGCAGAGATTCTACAGGAATTGGCTGATAAATGGCAAGATTGCAGAATTGCGAGAGGATCGGGTATGCTGGAAGGAATGGCACAATTCGGTACCAGAAAGAGGCTTTCACCAGCAGGCAACATCTGACGGCATAGTCGCATCCTAGGCCTCAATCGAATGTAAGCGGCCCCTCAGGGCCCCAGGGGGTACGAACAAAGAGGAAACATGGGAGAGAGAAGGACAAGTTAGAGTAGGTGAAAATACGGGAGCATGAACGCGGGTTACAAAGGAAGGCTTTATCGCAGGGGGCCWKAAGYAAATCAATGCCTGCCAATGTCCAAGATCGACTATTGGAGGTTGGGCGCACAGGCGAGGGGTTTAGGGTTTAGGGTTTTACCGTAGATCTCCCAAAGGGGCAGGGAGGTGTGTGGGGAGGAAACAGGTCGGCAAGGATAACGGATGAGCTCTTTCTAGGGACAAGGGCGCTATCTGGCAGACCTGGGCTCCAGGTCTGAGAGGAAAGAGAGGGATAGGGCAAGCTGACAGTCAATCCTCCACCGCGGTGGAGCAATCAATGCTGTTCAGGGATCCTTCGGCCCGACGGAAGGAAGCGTGTGTGAGTGTTCTTGATGTAATGTATATTTTGACTTGCCGGTGGAATAGGAACCGGACTGACGCTCCCCAGAATAGGAGCCAGGACCATAACGCCCTGTTTTGTTTATTAAAA